CTCTTGTCCAGCGATACTAAAGCTGTACTCAGGAGGGCTAATGAGCTCTATGGGCATCTTTGAGACCAAATATGTTATTCAGGGACACAAACACAAGCTGGAGTTTGAGATTGTGAAAACCAGTACCACCTTGCCATCTCTGGAAGGTGTTGATAGCCATTTTCACATGTTGACACTGGTATTGTGTTGAGATAATGAAAATGAGGTTGAAAAGTGGTGGAGTTGCCCTTTAATGAATACAGGCCCAGGAATGTAGCATTAAGTAGGGGGTTGGTCTCCTGCATGCTGGGGCCTCCGATGACTGTGTGATTCACTGAGTATCAACATATTAAAACACTGCTGGTTTTTATAGAAGGGGGGATGGGATAGCAGCGTCTGTGCTTGTTTTATTTGTTTAGTACTTGGTTCACTAACATCGAAACAAGGATACCGTTGTCTTGTTTTGTACTTAAGAGTTTACTAACAACGAAACAATGAGTTGTGTGTCTGCACTTATTGTTCACTCATATTGAAACAATGGTAAATGGGTTGGAGGGATGATCAATGAGTTGGAATTCTAAGAAAATAGTTAACAATAACAGCAGTTATTGTGGTCTTGTATAAAGGAATGTTCATATTGTAAAATGCTAAATGAAAACTGTCAGACAAAACCACTTTCCCTTACTGGACTTTAGGGCAACCAGACCACAAGTTCATTTTTTTAGCACTGCTACAGTGGCAGTTGTTACTTACAAGCAGTCGCTATTTATATTGCAGTTTGCCAGGCCACATCAAATGCTGAATAGTATTCCTTTTCCGCCATCACTGCAAAGAGAATAAGGCAGAAACCACTTAGCTCAGATTCGTAATAAGTGATGACACCCACTAGAGAATGACTGACTATTGGCCTATAATTAAATGATGCCCTGTGAGCAAAGAAATATGAGAAGTTCCACAGAATCATCGATGAGGATTAAGATATCATCTTTGGCACAAACAAGCAACTTAAAGGGAAACACTTTTGGTATTTTTTTTTCATTAGTCCGTTGTTGATATGTTCCGAAAATGTTTTCAACGTCAGCAATCAAGTTAAGATATCCCACTTTTTAAATACAGAAATACAGCCAGTACCAGCTCTATTTCTGTATTTTGAAAGTTATACATCTTGAAAACTTGATTTTGAAAAATTGACTAAATTAGCAATGGACTAATGGGTTGAGTTTTCCTTTAAGTTTAACTGCTATGTGAAGAGATGACTAACCGCCTCTTGATGAAGGGAATGCAAACATATTCATCTGACAAATGCATTGATAACATGTCTGAAGGGAGGACAAATAGACCTACTCTTCCATTCATGCAACAACAAAAAAAAATATCTACAAAGGGGAGTTACTACATTTCTCTGCCGGACATGACCTGACAAGCTCCACAGACACTCACCTCACAGCTCCTAAATCATTTCCTGACATCTGCAGTAAAACAAACAGGTCACCTAGCCAGCTGAGTGACTCTTTTCAATGGAAACAAAGAAATATGTGTCATTATGACAGGGTGGAAAAAGTGCAAGAAGACCAGCATATCCTTTGGACAGTGAGTCATGTATTGAATCAGTGACTGACTCTTAGTATGAAGGGAAAGAACAGATTTTAAACTTCCTTCATGTTAATCTCAGTGGACAGAAATCACCAGTTTGATATTAAATTCCTGAAGAAAAAAAAAAACTAGGCCTAACTGATTGCAACCGCATATTTAAATCAGAATAATTATATAATATGTTTGCCAAGTATATGTTACAAAGGTTTCCCTGAACACAAGCAACATGTAAACCAAAGACACAGCTTGTGTTTGCGGACAGGTTTCTTCTTTACACACATTCCTCAGGCTCCAGCAAGCATATTAAAATCCACCTTTGGAATTTGGTAAAGCAGAAATATGGACATAGTAACCACCACTGTCAGAAATAGGGAGTACCACAAACACAGTGAAGTAGGGCTACATTTTCTCAACCCACAGCAGTCAGTGGACAATATAGTTTAGTAGCTTCTTCAGAAGCTAAGTAAGGAATACAAATTCATGCCAAAGTGATTTTTTATTGTAATACCAATACGTTTTTTTATCTATACAATACAATTACTATAAAGTAAACATTCATAGACAGGTTAAAACCATCAGATGGAGCCAAACCTTGAAGAAAACTGACATTGCATGTCACTTAACTACATAAATACAACTTATAGATTTAACATCTTTCTGGAGCAAAGCATCCGCTTTATCTTTGTTACAGTCAACACTTAAGTTACACCTCTAGGGTTGTAACTACAGTACATTCAATAATTTACCATGTCCCGCCATTTGTTTACATACATTGAGCATCCAGTGAAAAGAATGCACACTAAAAAAATGACAGTGCACCTGACAAACTGAATTGAACTCTGGTGGCAAGTATTCTATTTTCAGGTTTAAACAGATCAACATTTCCAACATATGGACAAACAGACTAGCATCCTTGGTCACAAAGTAACTGCAGGATTTCCATATTTCCTCCCTTCCATGTAAAGTGTGTATAGTCATGATAGAATACTTTTCTTAAATCAAAATAAGATTCACATATGATCAAAATCCTATCACCTTGATCGATGCTTGAATTTATTTTAAATACAGTTTATACATTTCCTGTCCCATTGGATGATTGAAATGACAGCTGCGTCACTAGAGTAGACTCATAAACAGGATTCTAGAGGGCATCCAGGCCCCCAGATGTCTGACTACTTCCTCTGTACAGAAGGGAACCAAGATACTTGGGAGTGTCAAAGTGCTGTTGCTTGATTGCAATTTCCTTATCCCCCTCCATCTTTTGTGGTTTTCCTTGTGTTGCGTCACATGCCATGAGACATGATGAACAGGCTCAATACAAATGTGCATGCATTTCAAGCTCTTATCAGTCCCATTTCCATAGCCCAAACATTCTGTAGCTATACTCCGTCATTACAAAACTTTGACTCACAATCAGATGGTACAGTTCACCTGATTTAACAGTTTAGATACTTTGATATGATATTAAAAGTTAATTATGGATTTTGATGAATAGTGGTACTTAGATTTGCACAATAATCAGTGAGGCAAAGGAAAAGGTGACATTTGCTTGAAGAGCAAAGGACGACTGACGTCTTGTGTTCTGATAATCCGTTTTTTTGTTGATTAAAAACCATGCTACATCATTCACCTTTCCCACCAAATAGCTGAGAAAATGGAGAAGAGAACCATTGAGCATGTGTATTTTTTATCAGTCTTAAAAAAACAAAAAAACTTTGGCTCAGGCTAGCCGTTAAAGTGAATGACCAAGTCCACACATCAAAATGTACAACAACATAACCGTGACTCCATTTTGTTAACGACATTCAGTCCTTAGTGTTACTTGGTTTGAGGGCAGGCAGGGATTAGCTGGACGGTGCCTTGTTTGTTGTTGACATCACAGATGGCAGGTGGCACCTTAATTGGGGAGGACGGGCTCATAGCAATGGCTGGAACAGCATGAATGGTATCCAACACATGGTTTCCATGTGTTTGATGCCATTCCATACACTCCATTCCAGCCATTATTATGAGCCGTCCTCCCCTCAGCAGTCTCCTGTGGTTGACGTATTCACACATTTCGTTTTTGCAGTTTCGTAGACAACGTTTCATATTTAGTCCAGCTCCAATCTTGGTCCTACAAAGACAAACCAAGAGATTATGACATGAAACCTGACCTGTCACAAACAAAGGGGTAACTGTGGAGTGGCGTTTGAATTGTGGTTTAGATATCAATCTCCGTACCCTCCAGCAAGGCAGCCAACCTCCTATTTACATTTGAGTAATTTAGCAGACGCTCTTATCCAAAGCGACTTAGAGGAATTAGGGTTAAGTGCCTTGCTCAAGAGCACATCGACAGATTTAGCACTTAGTCAGCTCAGGGATTCGAACGAGCGACCTTTCGGTTACTGGCCCAACTTTCTTAACCACTACGCTACCTGCCCAGACTTGTTTTAAATGGATCAGAGTCTAAATGCAAACTCAGTTAGCCTTAAGGAAATGTCCAAGTACACTTAACAAGGTCAGATAAGCGACATTCTGAAGGCCAAATGAGAGGAAAGAACTCAGACCCTCATCAACCTCCTGACCTGGGATACCTAATCCCATCATGATAGGGAGTCGACCCACATAAGAGAGTGCTGGGTAAATTACGCACACCAGTGGTACCAACTAAAGAAGAAAGAATGTGTTTCAGGTGTGAATCACATATTATAAATGTGTGTGTGTTAAGACTTAAAGGCGGGCTGAACTTTCTGATTTGGCATTGTTTTTCAGCTTGGTCATTAAGAAATGCAGCGGCCATGACTGAAGCAAAACAAGTTGTCTTGTGCGGGTAGTTTAATGTGTGTCTCCCCTGTGTGTGTGTTCACACGTGGCAAGTGTTTGTACATTCATTCTGCCAAAACAGTACACAGTCACTCACCCTTCTAGATAACTTGAAACAGTCTACCAGGGCTTCTGTCACAATGTAAATGTGACAATATTTTCATGTTGCACATCTTTTAGTTGTCTCATTAAATGCTTTCAATATTTGTATATTAATTTCTACAATTTATTTGGATTGACGGTTTGAAGTCTTTGAAACATGAAGCTATTGAAATTGTCCCAATATTTTATTCCTTGTGTAATGTACTGATGGTCCCCAACTAGCCCCATAGGGATATCGAATGTCAAACCAAATTGATCTTGAGCATTACTATCGGGTCACGTGCAGCTGCGCTGCGATTGATGATTACTTGGTTGCTGCCAGCTGTGGGTAGGATTGAAATAAACCAAACCCAAGGAAAACTGTTAAGATACCCTTCATTATGTGACAGTCTCTCTTTAACACACTGAAGAAAATGTGGTGATGTGCAACAGTGAAATATAAGACACTGCATTGACAGAATACCAGGAAACAGGATTACATTGCAAGTCTAGCTAGCTTTGAGAAAAATGGCCAAACTCACCACTACGCTTTTGGACTGCTCGTCAGCAGCTTCCTGCATTAGGCTGGTCAGCTGACTGAGGTACTTCTGGTTCTCTTGAAGCAGTCGTGGGGCAGCATCACTGGATGGGGGTGGGGAGGAGAGAGAATAAGTCACATACTGTACGAAGGACATTCTTTTCAGTCCGCTACATAACACATAAACCCCTCCTGTCTGCTGTATAGACCAGTACCTGTCATTGGGTCCAGGTAGGGAGGTGAGAGGGTGAGGGGCGCTGATGGGCTGGGCAGACTGGGCCCACTGGGACACCTGCAGGGGGTTGGACGACTCTGGGCTGGCTGCTATCGAGTTCCTTGTCGAGTTCTGAGCCTGGGAGAAGACAAATGCCATTACTTATATAGAACACATGTTCACATTATGACCTAGCTAAGTGAATTCTAAAGAAAATGTACCCTTTGCTAAGTCAAGGCTAAGGCAGGTAGCTTAGTGGGTAAGAGCGTTGTGCCAGTAACCACAAGGTCCCTGGTTCTAATCCCAGAGCCGACAAGGTGAAAAATCTGTCGATGTGCCCTTAAGCAAGGCACTTAACCCTAATTGCTCCTGTAAGTCGCTCTGGATAAGAGCGTCTGCTAAATGACTAAACATTTTTAAAAATGTTACTGTTGCAACCTCAGACATTTTCCTAGGAAGCCCAATTCTCCAAACTAGTGGAGAAAGTCCCTCACAATGATCTCAAACTGTGTTTTTAATACACAAATTAAGCACAGACTGTCCCTTGCTAATCAGGAGACCCCCTGGTATGTTGTGGTGGACTGTCATAAGAATTGCTTCACAGGAACATGGTAAAATTAAGTTTTTAGTGTGGCTAGACACTGGATGGTTCTGAATAAACTGTCAGCATGCAGTTAAAGATACTAACCACTCTTGGAGCTAATTAGTGCCCTCAGATCGTATTATATGATGTCGATAATAGGAGTTAAATTCATAATATAGCTAGCTTAACTAGCTAAAATATATATATAGAAAACAAGTTATTTTAAAGTGGCAATGTAACGTTTTGGTCGACCTGACCAAATTCACATAGAAATGTGAGTTATAGATCTATCATTCTACTTGAAAACAAGGCTAAGAAGTGGTAGATCTGTTCTATGTGCGTTATTTCTATGCTTCACGTTCTTAAGTTTCATTTATGCGTCTTATTTTCGGTTTTGTACACCAGCTTTAACCAGCTGAAACAATAGTTTTGGTTATGGAAAATATATTTAGCAACGGTTTAGATGGTACAATGATTCTCTATACCATCTTATTTTGTCACATAAATTGAAATTAGGCGAACTATTAGAGTTTTAGCAACGAGGAAATGGGCAGAGCGATTTCTGCATAGTGCAACTTTAATGGATAGCTAGCTAGCATTTTCAATGGAGGCTAGTGCTAGTGTAGCTAGTTACCCAGCTAGCAAACAATGGAACAAAAGTTATGGAACAAAAGTATAATTTCAGACTCGGAAGAATACCCCAACGGTCTCTGCATTTTAGGAATCACAGTCGCAAGTACCCCTGGTGCACTGTTAAATTATTTAGCCATTTAAACAATTTTTTGATAAACTCTGTTTTTGCCATTGCCATCATTGGCTTCCATGCATTTAAAACTATTCGAGGCTGGTCGGACACGATCAAGATTAGCTTGTGTCCAACCAACGATTGGTTGCCCATAAATCTGGGGCGTGGCATAGCAAAGGGTCAATTGCACATTACTTAAAATAACCCAAGTTATTTGACTTCATGATCTTATGACTAACATTACTGAAGTTCTATAGATAAAACCTTTCAATCACTCACACAGGCAATCTTCAATAGGTGCCAGAACTCTCTCTGTCTCTTAATCTGCATCTGCATCACTGTGTTGTCGGCATCCTTGATGTTCTCCAGTGTCTTCTCGATGCGCGGGAACAGGTCAATGATCTTCTGCTTGCTCAATAAGATCTTACTGCATGGGGAAACAGAAGGTAAACAGTGTTTTCCACTTAAATTAAATAGGCTACTTTTCAATTCGCTAGTCAGAAAAGTCTGCCGAGCCCTCTCCCGCTAGAATGAATGATATGCTTCTTCTAGCGATCTTTCGATAGGTCAGGCACCTGTCAGTCACAAAGTGAGCGATGATAGTGAAACACTGCTGGTTTGACGGTCTGCTGTCTGTCCCGCCTCTCGGTACCTGGGTGTATGCGTTGAGTGTGCCGTGGTTGCAGTCGAGGGAGAGAGCATGAATTTGCACATCCCATATAATGTGAGTGAATTTGCACTTCCCATATAATGTGGTAACAATGAGTGGAAATCCACTTAGCCTACTGTTTTCTGGCATATTCATTTATTTTCTTTTGCGTGCAGGGTCCGACATTAACGATGGCCCGGGGCCAATAGAAACATGTTAGGACAGTAACGTTTCAGCGCATTTTGGCATTCCAGTTCAACATTTACCTGCTCTGTCGCTACCATTGAAGACACACAGAAAACGCACACAAAGCTCTCCCCTCGCCCTCCATTTGGCAAATCTGACCATAACTCTGTCCTCCTGATTCCTGCTTACAAGCAAAAACTCAAAACAGGAAGTACCAGTGACACGCTCAACGTGGAAGTGGTCCGATGAAGCGGATGCTAAGCTACAGGACTGTTTCACTAGCACAGACTGGAATATGTTCAGCGATTCATCCGATAACATTGAGGAGTACGAACTCAGTCACCAGCTTCATTAATAAGTGCATCGACCATGTCGTCCCCACAGTGACCCTACGTACATATCCCAACCAGAAGCCATGATTTACAGGCAACATCTGCACTGAGCTAAAGGCTGGAGCTGCCGCTTTAAGGAGCGGGACACTAATCCGGACGCTTATAAGAAATCCCCCTATGATCTCCGACGAGCCATCAAACAGTCAAAACAGGACCAAAATGGAATCCTACTACGCCGGCTCTGATGCTTGTCGGATGTGGTAGGGCTTGCAAACTATCACGGATTACAAAAGGGAAACCCAGCCGTGAGCTGCCCAGTGACACAAGCCTACCTGACGAGCTAAATTCCTTCTATGCTTACTTTGAGGCAAGCAACAGTGAACCATGCATGTGAGCACCAACTGTTCCGGACGACTGTGTCATCTCGCTCTCCATAGACGATGAGTAAGAGCTTTAAACAGGTTAACATTCACAAGGCGTATTACCAGGCAGAGTATGTGAGCGGAGTGGAGCGGTCGGAAATCCCGCTCATCGGGACTCTACGTCCTTTCCAACCGCTCCACTAAAAACGTTCCTTGCTCACAGGGGGAAAAAACCTGCAGCTCCAAATTCGCTCCATTCTTTAAAAATCATAATTTAACCAACACCCATCTATTTTTGTGACTACCTTGACCTACCATTTGGTTTAGAAGTATTGAAACCAAACTATATGATTTGAATGAAAAGTATTTTAATAAACATGAAAAGGTGACTGTAAGAAGCGCTCATCATTTCAAATAGGCTACATGTCATATTAAACAGCATATAAACACTAAATAGGTCAGGACCCAGAGAGGGAGCCTAAGAAGGAACGAAAATGAATTATTTAGGCTATATTATTTCAAGGCTATAGCCTACAAATAAATACATTGTGATGCATTTGAGAGTGCGACACTCTAGGCTGGCAGGGACATTAAGCGCTCAGCATTTAAACAACATTTTGTTGTATTAAATCATTAGTGTCTAAATTGCGCATATAGGTTTTGACTTACTTAGAATTAAATACAATTAAACAAAAAAATTCCTTGTTAGGCTCAGTGCCTTCAAATTCATTTTTAGAAACACGAGTTTGGACAGAGTCTGTGGCTTGAGGCTCATGCGATGGTGCCTGGGGAGCAGGCCAGCAGCGGAGAAACCGAATACTCCTTCAAAGAGGTAATATACCAGGCCTATTGGGCCAAAATCATTGGTGGCCTATTGCATAGATAACAGAACGAAAATGAACAAAACTTTTAAGAGATCTGATTTTTAGTCTATAAATACTTTGCTACAATGGCTTAGCTACCCACCTCTTTCCTTTCTGTTAGCATGTGCATGTAGTAAGTACACCATCATGCGTTCGGGATACGTGTATTTTCAGATTCCACAATGATTTCCTTAGTTGTGAACACTACATCACCACACTCCCTTTCTTGCTCTTGGTCCTCCTCATCTTTGTAAGTCACCTTGATTTTGCACCTGTGTGTTTTATCAGTTTCTTTATGAAAATATTTTGCAAACTCCATGACAGTAGCTAAAGCAAAGGGCTATAGCAGAACACAAGTAGACTGCAAATGCATGCTGGGCCGGGCATGCCCTGAGCTCATGACGTGAGCACTACTTGGAGCGCTACTGAAGCGAAATTGGAGAGTGCAAGAAGGTCGATGCTCCAGCCTTTGGGAAACTTGCTCTGCTCTCCAATAAAATGTGGCACGATCCTCGCTCCGCTCACATACTCTGTTACCAGGACGTGTACTCAGAGCATTCGTTGACCAGCTGGCAAGTGCATTTTAAAACTTTACCCTGACACAGTCTGTAATACCTACATGTTTCATACAGACCACCATAGTCCCTGTGCCCAAGAATACAAAGGTCACCTGTCTAAATGACTATTGCCCGTAGCACTCACATCTGTAGCCATGAAATTCTTTGAAAGTCTGATCATGCTCACATCAACACATTATCCCAGACACCCTCGACCCACTCCAAGGGGTGCATGCTTAGTCCCCTCCTTTAATCCCTGTTCACGTACGACTCCAACACCATCCTTAAAGTTTGTTGACGGTAGACGGCAGTTGGCCTGATCACCAATGACGAGACAGACTATAGGGAGGAGGTCAGTGACCTGGCAGTTTGGTGCAAGGACAACATTCTCTCCCTCAATGTCAGCAAAACAAAGGAGCTGATAGTGGATTACAGGAAACGGAGGACCGAGCACGCCCCCATCCACTTCGACGGGGCTCTAGTGGAGCGGTCGAGAGCTTCAAGTTCCTCGGTGTCCACATCATTAAGGAATTATCATGGTCCACACACACAACAGTCGTGAAGAAGGCACGACAACGCCTCTTCCCTCTCAGGTAGCTGAAAAGATTTGGCATGGGCCCGCAGATCCTTATAAAGTCACACAGCTGCACCATTGAAAGCATCTTGACTGGCTGCATCACTACTTCGTATGGCAACTGCTTGGCATTCGACCACAAGGCGCTACAGAGGATAGTGCATACGGCACAGTACATCACTGGGGCCGAGCTACCTGCCATCCATACGTAAAAATGTATGCACACATGACTGTAAGTCACTTTGGATAAAAGCGTCTGCTAAATGGCATATTATTATTATATTATTATCCAGGACCTCTATACTAGGCAGTGTCGGAGGAAGGCCCTAAAACTTGTCAAAGACACCAGCCAGCCAAGTCATAGACTGTTCTCTCTGCTACCGCATGGCAAGCGGTACCGATGCACCAAGTCCGGAACCAACAGGACCCTGAACAGCTTCTACCCCAAGCCATAAGACTGCTAAATAGTTAGTTAAATAGTTAACCAAATACCTATCAGGACTATCTGCATTGAACCTTTTTGCACTAACTCTTGACTCATCAGATACGCTGCTGCTACTACTACTGTCTATTATCTATCATGTTGCCTAGTCACTTTATCCCTACCTATATGTACATACTGTATCTACCTCAATTACCTTGTAACTCTACACATCGACTCGGTACCCTGTGTATATAGCCATGTTATCGTTATTCATTGTGTATTTATTCCTCGTGTTATTATTTTTCAATTATATCTCTGCATTGTTGGGAAAGGCCCGTAAGTAAGCATATTTCACTGTTAGTCTACACTGGTTGTTCATGAAGCATGTGACAAATAAAAATAGATTTGAAGACTACAATGTCATGCTATTTGTACGCTGAACAAAAATATAAAACAGAGTTTTACTGAGTTACAGTTTATATAAGGAAATCAGTCAATTGAAATAAATTCATTAGGCCCTAATCTATGGATTTCACATGACTGGGAATACAGATATGCATCGGTTGGTCACAGATACCTTAAAATAAAGTTAGGGGCGTGGATCAGAAAACCAGTCAGTATCTGGTGTGACCACCATTTACCTCATGCAGCACGACATCTCCTTCGCATAGAGTTGATCAGGCTATTGATTGTGGTCTGTGGAATGTTGTCCCACTCCTTCAATGGCTGTGCGAAGTTGCTGGATATTGGCGTGAACTGGAATACGCTTTCGTACATGTCGATCCAGAGCATCCCAAACATGCTCAATGGGTGACATGTCTGGTGTGTATGCAGGACATGGAAGAACTGGGACATTTTCAGCATCCAGAAATTGTGTACAGATCCTTAAATCCTTGTGACATAGGGGCGTGCATTATCATGCTAAAACATGAGGTGATGGCGGCGGATGAATGGCACGACAATGGGCCTCAGGATCTCGTCATGGTATCTCTGTGCATTCAAACTGCCATCGATAAAATGCAATCGTGTTCGTTGTCCGTAGCTTGCCTGCCAATACCATAACCCCACCGCCACCGTGGGGCACTCTGTTCACAACGTTGACATCAGCAAACCGCTCACCCACACGTCGCCATACACACAGTCTGCCATCTGCCCGGTAAAGTTGAAACCGGGACTCATCCGTGAAGAGCACACTTCTCCAGCGTACCAGTGGCCATCGAAGGTGAGCATTTGCACCCTGAAGTTGGTTACGATGCCGAACTGCAGTCAGGTCAAGACCCTGGTGAGGACGACGAGCACGCAGATGAGCTTCCCTGAGACGGTTTCTGACAGTTTGTACAGAAATTCTTCAGTTGTGCAAACCCACAGTTTCATCAGCTGGTTTCAGATGATCCCGCAGGTGAAGAAGCCGGATGTGGAGGTCCTGGGCTGGCGTGGCTACACGTGGTCTGTGGTTGTGAGGCTGGTTGGACGTACTGCCAAATTCTCTAAAACGACATTGGAGGCGGCTTAAGCCAGAGAAACGAACATTAAATTATCTGGCAACAGCTCTGGTGGACATTCCTGCAGTCAGAATGCCAATTGCACACTCCCCCAAAACTTGAGACATCTGTGGCATTGTGTTGTATGACAAAACGGCACATTTTAGAGTGGCCTTTTATTGTCCCCAGCCCAAGGTGCACCTGTGTAATGACCATGCTGTTTAATCAGCTTCTTGACATGCCACACCTGGATTATCTTGGCAAAAGATAAATGCTCACTAACAGGGATGTAAAACAAATTCTGGTGCATATGGAACATTTCTGGGATATTTGAAACATGGCACCAACACTTTACATGTTGTGTTTATATTTGACGACTCACACCAACTTCTTCTGCTGCTGCTCTGTCATTTGCTACATATTTTAGTCAGAGTGCCATCATTGAAGTCGTTTGTGGTGACGAGGGGCGTTGTACAAAACAAAGATGTCAACGATTGGATCGAAGCCATTTTCAAACCACCGCTTTATCCACGTGTGGCTCAACCCATCGGTTTCTGGACCAATCAGACAGCCCCGAATGTGTTCTGGCTCAACCCATCGGTTTCTGGACCAATCAGACAGCCCCGAATGTGTTCTGGCTCAACCCATCGGTTTCTGGACCAATCAGACAGCCCCGAATGTGTTCGCATTCAGTGAAGGGTCGGGAGATACTCAGATCCAGACTCATTGCGGAGAGAAACTAACATCTATGGGCGTGGCGAAGCGTTTGGCTGGAGCAACGAGTTTGGCTAGCCAGGCAACCCGCGAGTCAACTTCAAGCAGTACATGAGTTGCCTTCACACCGCACATGCGAGCTGTCTTGAGCAAAAAGAAACACCCATCAATCTACTCGCTGAGCTTATTTATTTTAGGGAAAGTGATTTACAAAAGTAAACCTTAAATAGTGAACATACTAGCAATATGCTGGCTACTGTTGATAGTCTGCAAAAAGAAAGTAACAAAAAGACACCTAGCATTCGTCTTGGCTAGCCTACTGTAGCCATGTCAATATCTCTTTTGGAATGTTTGTCAGAGGCAGCATCCCATTTTCATATCTTCTCAAAATGACATACTGTACTTTAGAAACAAATGTATGCAATTAATACAATGCAATTCTAAAGAAGAGTAATGACTGGCATTACTAAATTATATTACCCAGCTTTTTAATCCATAATAACCAAATGTAGCCTATTAATAGCTGAATATAGAGAGAAAGCATGGCCCTGCATGACCCCAAGCTAATTTCCTGCAATGCTACACATTTTGCCATAGGCAGAGAGGAGACCTTGCAGTTTTAGAGATTACTTTACAGTGCATTTATGTTCAAAAACAACATTTTGGGGGAATACAAGTAGTACTGTGGATACCAATATCCCTGTGAGCCTCCCAGGACCATGTTGCCCAGGGTTAAGAACATACTGTAGATTAATATTACATAGTATTGCATTACACCCTCAACTTATTTTAGAAATCCCTTGGCCAAAATTGGTTTAATCTGTTAGCAATATTCATGAAAAAAAAAAATATATATTTATTTTGAGATCTGGCCGCGTACCCCCTGCTGGACCTTCTGCCGTGGACCCCAGTTTGGGAACCTCTGCAGTAAGGCACATTGTTGCAGAACGTTTAGAATGAGATAAAAAATATATTGCATAGAACAGACGCATGCCTCTCTAACAGAGTTAAGAATCAGGTCAGCTTTATTAAGTGCATTTCTATCTGCAACGTTCTGTTGGTGACATGACAGTCCACTGAACAGTCCCAGACCCTGCTTACCCGAGGTGTGTGTAGAGGTCTCTCAGGACCTTGTCCTGGTTCTGGACAGTCTGTATAATGGCTTTAACCATCTCGGAGCTGTCACTGCTCACATCAGGGTCAGGCGCTAAGGGAAGAACAGCACACAGGTGTCAGAAAGTGGTAGTGTTTATACAACTACAGTCGTATGATTACAGATTTTATTCAATATCCAAAAGTACTACTGTGCCTTATTGAAATTTAAAAACAGCTGCAATGCAGTGACTGTATTTATTGGACAAAAGTGGCTTACTTCTGCATTTAATTTTTTGTTGTTTGTAGAGTTCAATCGCCTTCTCCTCCCTGAAATCAATGAATAAACGATAAATTCTCTTAGAACATTCATTTAAATCTTGTTTGAGGCTTTCAGAATGATACTCTTCTTAAAAGTGCATTTGAGTACTCTAGATGTATATGACTGGCAATGCAAATGAAAAACAACATCAGGTCAGCTACTAGCCAAATCAGAAGCCAAACATTTCAATGAGGCTCCATCTACTTCCACAACTTCCTGGCACTTCCTAGACCCTTGATGTGTTTAATTCAGTAGAGACAGACAGCCTGTCATTCCTGCCTAGTGTAGAACACTCACAGCTGCTCCATGACGTCTCCTTGGCGACGAGCGTAGGGACTCCTTTGCAGCTCCACGATCTCCGAGTGTAACGACATGATTTCCTCGTCCAGGTGGCTCACCTCTGCCACCTAGTGGACATAACATATGAGTAGGTAGGGATACCCCGATGATTAGGATTGGTGGGGTAATCTGATCCAAGATTTGTGGTTAACTTCTACTTCACGCCATTTGATGCACCTGTAATGCATGCAACAAGGTTCCTAGATGTGTCCCCATCCCAGCCAGTACCTGTGCATACGCAGCCGCCTTCTCCTCATTCTCCTGCCACGCTTTCAGCATCTTCTCTGAGGCTGTGGGAGAGAAACAACCAAATCTCCTGAAAATAACCAACACTATCTTTTCATAATACAAAAGCATGGTTGATTCTAAAATGGCACTATTCCCTACTTTGCGCCCTGGTTAAAAGCAGTGCTCTATATAAAGGAATAGGGTACCATTTCAGCTGAAGGCCATGTGGGTGACTATTCCTGGCACTACCAATCATAAGCCAGCCAACACTCACAGATCCCATAGTGCATCTGGTCGCTGTACTTCTCCAAGTCGTACTGGATGCTGCTCTTGAAGAAGTCCAGCTTGGCCTTCAGCTGCTGGGAGAAGGCAAACATGCCGTTCTTGCACCGGGTCAGGTTGGTGTTGTAGCGCAGGAGGCTCAGCCTGGACAAACACACAGAATATAATGACTTTGTCTGTTAAAAAACTAAAAATGTACCGTATTGGTCCGAATATAAGACGGCCTTTTTTCCCCTCGAAATAGGTCCAAAAAAGTCGGGTCGTCTTATATTCGGGGTCTAGTATTCAGAGCGCAGTTTATCTTCTTCGGCGCTCCCTTTAAATGTCAATACACATTCGCGGGCACAGATGGCGCCAAAAATTCGTTCCGGACGGAGGGAAGAGGCGTCCTTAACAACCAGCCCGTTACCGGTGTTTAAAGATGGAAAGACAGGCTGACCATTTAGAGACAAGTGGCTCAAAAGTGGGCCAGGTCAATAAACAACAGCGGAGGAGCTATGATGCCAATTTCAAAATAATGGTTGTCAATAAGGCAGAGTCATCTAACAACTGCCAAGCTGCCAAGACATTCGGGGTCACTGAGTGTAATGTAAGAAGATGGCGAGCAGAAAAACAACGTCTAAAAGATGCTAACAGTCAGCGAAAATCCTTCCGTGGTCCTCAAAGTGGTCGTTTCATTGAGGTTGACCGGAGGGTTTTTGAATATGTCAGGGAAAAAAGAAGTGAGGGAATGCCCATTACCAGAGCTGTCATCCAGGTTAAGGCCCTGGAAATCGCCAGAGAGCTCAACATCACTGGATTTAAAGCCAGCCTCGGCTGGTGTCGTAGGATGATGCGGCGTAATGGACTGTCACTTAGACGGAGAACGAGTTTGGCCCAACGCCTGCCGTCAGACTTCGGAGAGAAGCTGCTTTCGTTTCAGCGCTTTGTTATCAACCTGAGGAAGAAGCACTCCTACCCGCTGGATCAGATCGGCAATGCTGATCAGACACCCGTTTATTTCGACATGCCAACATCGGTGACTGTCAATAGAAAGGGAGATGTTGCTTTATTATTGCTTGATATTAATTTTGAATCATACTGTACATAGTTTGCCTTTGTGTTTAATTCACTGTGTTTTTAATATTGTTATTTTAAAATAAAATGAAGTTCTTTGTTCGGCAAATCTAGTCTGCAAATCTGTTTTTCTAAATGTTTGTGTTGAAAAACGGGGGGTCGTCTTATAATCAGGGTCGTCTTATATTCGGACCAATACGGTACATCAAGATAACAAGACCACACACGCCATAGATGAAAAAGCAAAGAGCTGATTCTTCCAAAGCAAGTCTGGAAACTTATTTCAGCCATTCCAGTTTGAGACATTACCACATTCAAAAGAAAGAATCTTGCTTCCTTTTACTTCACTTCAGATGATTTTGTGTCTAGTAAAGCAGGCTTACTCACATGGCAGCCCTCTGGCCCTGGAACAGTCTGCTGTAGTCGTCCTTCAGTCCACAGATGTAGCTCACCGCCTCGCCCCACACCTTCTTCAGCACCACCAGGGGCAGCTGGGACTTAGCCTCCCGCACTGGGAAAAAGGACGACAATCTCCTACATAAGGCTTGGTACATATGATGGAAGAACATATGACTGAAGACATCTTTGAACCAAACCATGGAAGGAGCACGAGTTTAACTGAATGCTCAATTCTGTTTTTGCCATCCAAGAATAAAAACACCCTACCGCTATTTAATTGCATGAGCCATGTATTTCCATCTAAATATTTATCAGCAGGCAGAGAAGGCAGTACTCACCAATAGTGTTGACTTTATCAGGCAGCTGTCTAGCACTGAAGGGACCAGAGTACTTGGTGAGGCTCTTGTCAAACAAATAGATTATGTAACTGTCCCAGCCACGCTGCACAACACACAAAAAAACAAGCACTTTACATGGGGGTCAATTGCTAAAGATGTTCATGCTAAACAGGCGAGTAAGATTTCCAGTGTGTTGTATCAAAACTACATTCTAACAAATGACAACACACGAAGTAGCAAAGTGGAACCAAAGTCTTTACCACCCCGTCGAGGACACACTGGGCTGCAGGCTTCCTGGGGTCCAGCGACACCCCCGTCTCCTGCAGCAGCTCCTGGTTGACCAACTCAATCTTGGTCTCCGTCTCGATGCGGCGCTGCAGGCTATGGAGGCTCTCATCTGGGGCCAGCTGGAAGGAGTGGACCTGGGCCGTGGTCATGTTCAGGATGTGGACAACCTGCCAATGGGAGAAATGATATGTGTAAAATAAAGGAAGCCGATTGGCTAGCAGACTGAGTCAATCCAAAATATCAAGCACTAACAGGCAAACTTAACATTTTGCTTAAAAAGTATGTTATGTGCACATTGACACACTATGGGGAAATTAAGCGTTCATTGAATCTTGTCCATGAGACAATCAAATAAAAGAGCCCAGCCTTGACAGAGAAATTTGAAAAGACTATTGTTAGCTCAAGAGATACAGTATGATACGTTACAGTACTAACCTTCATGCATAATATCTGTTCCAGCACTTCAAAGCACAGGGGTTTCTTGCTGTCAGCGTTGGTCTTGCCTCCCCTCTGGACAGGGTCCCATTTCAGCATTAGCTGCAGCAGCATCTCCATGGGCTCCAGCAGTGTCCTGAACGAGTGTAATGCAAATTAACATCCCCCCGATGGAGGGGAAACAAATTCAATCTATACAGGTCATGGTCGTTTCCCTCGAGTTACAGTCTTGGTTATCGACTTATGCTACTCAATGAGGTGAAACGTTCAGAATGTGGCCATAAATTGAGCTGACACGATTCACTGTTCTACTTGACAATCATATTTGTTCTCCACAATATAATTGTTTTTTATCTCAATGTTCTGTTACTTGGTACCCTACTGAACAGTCTGTGGCTAAAAGATAATGAAAACCAGCATTCTCATCCCTCGAGGTCCAGAGCTGGGCACCCCTGCTATACATAGACAGGATAGGACAGCTGGTTACAGTGCCTTCAGAAAGTATTCATACCCTTTGACTTATTCCACATTGTTGTGTTACAGCCTGAATTCAAATTGTGAAAAAAGATCCTCACCCATCTACACACAATACCCCATAATGGCAAAGTGAAAACATGTTTTTAGAAATTGTCGCAAATGTATTGAAAAGGAAATACAGAAATCTAATTTACATAAGCATTCACACCCGAGTCAATACTTTGTAGAAACTTTGGCAGCGATTACAGATTTGAGTCATCTTGGGTATGTATGTATCAGTTTTGCATATCTGGATTTTGGGATTTTCTCCCATTCTTCCTTGCAGATTTTCTCAAGCGCTGTTAAGTTAGATGGGGAGCAGAGGTGAACAGCAATCTTCAAGTCTTTCCATAGATAGATTCATGTCTGGGCTTTGGCTGGGCCACTCAAAGGTTTTCACATTCTTGTTCTGAAGCCATTCTAGCATTGCTTTGGCTGTATGCTTGGGGTCATTGTCCTGTTGAAAAGTAAATCTTCACCCCAGTCTAAGGTCGTTTGCACGCTGGTTCTCATCAAGGATTTGCCTGTATTTGGCTCCATTCATTGTATCCTCTTATCCTTACCAGTCTCCCAGTCCCTGCCGCTGACAAGCATCCCCAAAGTATGATGCTGCCACCACCATGCTTCACTGTAAGGATGGTGTTAGATGGGTGATGAGCTGTACCTGGTTTCAGGCCAAAGAGGTAAAAATAATTATCATCAGACCACAATCTTTTGCCTTATGTTTTCACGTGCCTTTTTGTAAACTCCAGGCATGCGGTCATGTGCCTTTTTCTCAGGAGTAGCTTCTGTCTGGCCACTATCCCATAAGGCCCAGATTGGCGAAGTGCCGTAGAGACTGTTGTCCTTCTGAACGCTGTAGTTCTGAGTGGTCATTGTGTTCTTGGTCACCTCCCTGACCAAGGTCCTTCTTGCCCGGTTCCTCAGTTTGGTCGGACAGCCAGCGTCTGGGTAGAACAATATTTGTTCAATTTCCCAATGATGGAGCTCACTGTTCTCTTGGAACCTTTCAACACTCGAAATGGTTTTATACCCTTCCCCAGATATATGCCTCATCACAATTCTATCTCGGAGCTCAACGACAGTTCCTTGGACTTCATGGTATAGTTTCTGTTCTGACATGCACTATCAACTATGGGACCTTATACTTCACGTGTGTTTATTTCTAAAACATGGCCAAACAATTGAATTGGCCAAAGGTGGACTCCAATCAAGTTGTAGTGACATCTCAAGGATGATCAAAGGAAATTGGATGGACTTGAGCTCAATTTGGAGTGTCATAGAAAATGCTTATGTAAATGTGATTTCTGCATTTCATTTTCAATACATTTCCTTAAATTTCTAAAAACATGTTTTCACTGTCATTATGGGGTATAACAACAAAATGTAGAATAAGTCAAGGGGTATGAATACTTTCTGAAGGCACTGTAATAATGACATTAGAATAGAGTATGTGATGGTGTCTGACCTGCTCAGATTGTTGGGGTATGGTAGATGTGTGGAGAATCTGACTTCCCCATTCAATTCCTCCACAGCCATGATGTCTTTGGGACCTTTGTTCCGCACTTTGCTGGCCCTGAGGAATAACATTGAAAAAGGCATTTAGGATGGTTACCTCCTAGTGCCCATTGGAGGATCACTTAGAATTAAAACTAGCACTTGAAAACCGTGTTAATGTAACTCAAATGCAGAGGGACAACTACCATTGGACAGGCTGAAGATTGTGCAGAAAAGGCCGGATCCCACAACTGCATTCAAATATCATTGTGCCAAAACTCCAGTAGTCCACTGTGACAGTGTAAGGCTTATTCTCAAATAGCTCAGGGGCCTGGGGAAAAGATATGTAAGTATCAATTTGTAAGTCCGGTTTTAATCAATCGTGACTAACAAACAAAGACAATGACGTAGCGTTGAATCAACAGGAATCTAAGAGTGCTTGCAGGATGGATAATATGCTCACCAGGTATTGCAGTGTTCCCACAAATGAGGTGCACAGACTCCCCTGGTCCAAGTCTTTGGCATAGCCCAAGTCTATGATTTTGTGAACCAACTGAACAAGGAAAACATTTAGACATATTAACATTGCAAGATGAACAGTAGTGTTTAAAAATAACAAACAATAGACAATGTCACACCTTAGCACACCAATTGCACAAAAATGTAGACAGTTATAAACAGAGCATGATGACAGTGTGTGTGCTGGCCCATACATATTGGGTTACCTTTCCATTGACATCCTGCAGCACTACGTTTTCTGGTTTAAGGTCTCTGTGTATGATCTTGTTTTCATGCAAATACTGGATGCCTGAACCTGTTATATAAAGACCATTCAGAAATCAGTTCTATGCAGACCCACAATTGATACAATTATAAGCAATACAATGGTATGGTACAGTACATACCAACATCATTGAGCAGGGAAAGTACTTCACTTTCTTTCAGTCCACAGCAATTTTCAGGCTTGCTCAGCATCTGTCAAATTCAACCATAAACACATTGTTGGACAAATGCCTGCTAACATGAAGAATGCTATACTTCAGACCTCATGACAGAACAATTGTTTGTCACTGTGCCCTTCTGTGAGGCATTTAACCCCTAACTGCTCCAGGGGCACTGCAACGTGGCTGACTCCACTCAGGACTGTGTATATGTCAAGGGGGTTTATAGCAAATAAAAAGAGAATTGTCGACTGTAAGGAAAATGGACAATAAAATATTAATCTTCAGCTGCTCCACCTTTCTGAGGTCTCCCTTGGAGCAGTACTCCATGGCCAGCAGTGGAAGGTCGTTTAAGGCAATGTGCTTCATCTCCTCTGGCACGTCTCTCGCTGTCACTACATTGAGATTATTCAACCTGAATAGACAAGAAAAACGTTGCACTTGATACATACAAGAAGCAAATGCCAATATTTCAATCATTGAAAAAGTAGAAGTCACCCAGTTCAAATGTGTGTGGCATTCAATGATGTACATAGGATAATACGATGAAGACAAACTTTTTCATGATCTGGATCTCTCTGCTCCATCTGTCTTTATTTCTTGCGGTCAACTCCAGGCGACACATTTTCACCGCAATTTTTTCTGATGTGTCCTTAGAAACAAGGAAAAAAACAGTAAAGTCTCATCTATTATCTTGATTGAACCTGTAGAACGGCTGGTCAACTCAACAGATGTGCACTTATGAATTCACAGCGATAAGAATACAAAACAGTAAGGTATTTTTAAGCTACAGGGTGTTTCTCTCAAGTGGTGGCCATTTGACCTTTGCCAGAAGATACCGACCTTACCGTTACACTTGTTTACAATGAGCTGCTCCGTGGAGCAGGCGCGAGATATGGGTCGGAAAATGTACATCAATGCAGCGATGGGATGTGCCACTGTACTCCAAATTGTACCTTTATTCACACTGCTCCATCTAGAAGACTTAAATACTGCTAGTTTTCCCGGAAAACTGCCATTTTCATGCTAGCTAGTAGGGCCAGGACGATACCAGTATCGCAATATTTTTTCAATGCCAAACATTTGAACACGAAGCAGACCAAACTCTATTGGTCCTTTAAAAAATAGTGTGCTTAGCTTGGAAAATAAATACATTTGACTCTGGCTGACAACATAATTGTGTTTGTTTCCAACATTAAGCCTGTTTTACTAAAGAAGTTAAATCCGCTTGTGTTGTGTTTCCATACCACGATACAAACGAGTATCGCGATACAGTATCGTCCCAGCCCTATTAGCTAGTAGTAGCCACTGCAGCCATTTTGGAATGGCAGTGTTAGCCAATCAGCTCCTTTGTTGTTCAACGTGATGTGCAATTCCATAATGGCTGCTGTGTCTACTGCAAATTAGCATGAGGACAAAAAGGGCAGTTTTTCAGGAAAACTAGCAGTATTCCATCATTCTCGATGAAGCATTGTGGATAAAGGAGTAATTTGGAAAACAGTGGCATATCCCATCCCTGCATTGGGGTGCGTTTTCCGACCCATATCTGACCCCGGCTCCACGGTGTGTTAATGTATCATGATTGCATTCCCACCCCAGTGCAGCTCAGTGTAAACAAGTGTAACAGTAGGGTCGGTATCTTCTGGCAAATCTGACCTGTGATATCTGTCACCCAGTCAAGCTTACTGTTCACATCTAGGAAGTGGTTGACATCCTTTCACCTACATGTAAACATATATCCAAGTCCAACACTGATTTGGCAGGATGTTGAGCTACCTTGATTCAAGTCTGGAATCAGGAACAGTTTAGAGTACTAGGGGTTACTTATAAAAATGTTGCTATTAACTAGTTAAATACTTACATGATGTTGATACAGGTAGACATGGGCAAAACTGCCCATGCCCAATCTCTCTTTCAATTCCCAGTTTCCGCAGTTTTGGTTTTGTCTGAAAGGAGGTTTATCCATTGCTGTAACGTCAATAACATGGAAGATTAATGTTATATTTGGCTATGCAAATTGTCAACATTTCTAACTAGCCACATAACGCGGTAAATCAAGCATTTACTAGCTATGTTAGCTTGATAGCTACTGTTTACAGCTAGTGCTAGCTATCGTTCGCTATTTAGCTAAACAACTCTCAAGTTTGCCTTACCTTCGTTAGTGTTGCTAACTAACGTTAGCTATTAATTTAGCTCCCCTGTCAGATGTCCGTACACAAAATGTATCAATGGGCAATATGAAGAGACGTTTAAACTTTACAATCCCTCATATTTGCCTTGCAGGGTTGTACCCGTGACTGATCAACAAAGACGAAAGTAAACATAGTTAGCTAGATAGCACGGTTAGCTCGATGGACAGCCAGCTAACGCTACTGGCTATTCGCTTGAAAATTACGAATGTAGCTGGTTATTAGCGAAATCTTGGTGTAATAATCTAATCTAAACTAATTATTACGTAACATTGATATTTCATAAAAGAGTCAGCGGCCGTTTTTTCAGAAAAATGAAGATGATCTTCTTGTGTCCGACCACTGCACCTTCACAGGATTGTGTACTTTCCTAGATGTGACGTCGCCCAAAAACCCGGCTGCTTTTCTGAAGTGAAAAAAATTAGAGGGTCATAAAGAGGCGTCATGCCATAGGGGGCACAAGGGCACGTTCCCACTCATATTTTTGTAAAAAAACAAACAAATCAGATGTTAAAATCATTATTAAGCCCACGTTTTATCATAAATATTTATTTAAAAAAAGTACTGTCAGTTGTATTTTGTCAGTTGTATTTCTCCCATGTGCTGTAAGTGGTCCCTTACCTTAACCCAGTGGTGACATGTCATTCAGGGCAGATGGGACCTGTTTTGAGCACCATCTGTTTAGCAAAAAAATTATATACAATACCAGTCAAACGTTTGGACACACCTACTCATACAAGGTTTTTTATTTTTTTTCAAAATGAAATAACACATATGGAATCCTGTAGTTACCAAAAAAGTGTCAAACACTCAGCGGTCCAACTCATGCCAAACCATCTCTCAGACTGGCCAATAAAAAGCAAAGATTAAGATGGGCAGTCTGAGATATGTCTTTTTCTTTGCAACTCTGCCTAGAAGGTCAGCATCCCGGAGTCGCCTCTTCACTGTTGACGTTGAGACTGGTGTTTTGCGGGTACTATTTAATGAAGCTGCCAGTTGAGGACCTGTGAGGCGTCTGTTTCTCAAACTAGACACTCTAATGTATTTGTCCTCTTGCTCAGTTGTGTACCGGGGCCTCCCACGCCTCTTTCTATTCTGGTTAGAGCCAGTTTGTGCTGTTCTGTGAAGGGAGTAGTACACAGCGTTGTACGAGATCTTCAGTTTCTTGGCAATTTCTCGCATGGAATAGCCTTAATTTCTCAGAACAAGAATAGACTGATGAGTTTCAGAAGAAAGTTATTTGTTTCTGGCCATTTTGAGCCTGTAATCAAACCCACAATTGCTGATGCTCCAGATACTCAACTAGTCTCAAGAAGGCCAATTTTATTGCTTCTTTAATCAGAACAACAGTTTTCAGCTGTGCTAACATAATTGCAAAAGGGTTTTCTTATGATGAATTAGCCTTTTAAAATGATAAACTTGGATTAGTAAACACAACGTGCCATTGGAACACAGGACTGATGGTTGCTGATAATGGGCCTCTGTATGCCTATGTAGATATTCCATAAAAAATCAGCCGTTTCCAGCTACAATAGCCATTTACAACATTAACAATGTCTACACTGTATTTCTGATCAATTTGATGTTATTTCAATGGACAAAAAAATTGCTTTTCTTTCGAAAACAAGGACATTTCTAAGTGACCCCAAACTTTTGAACGGTAGTGTATATATATATATATATATATATATATATATATATATATATAATTATTATTATTATATATATATATTTTTAAAGTGGCCTGTTTTGCATGTTATTTTGGCATTAATAAGTGTCACATATCAGTTTGCAAACAATGTAAAAAATAATAATAATTTAGTTAATAAAGCTGCATACAAACATGGTCTCTTTTTTGCTTTCTTGAGTAAGGCAGTTCCAAAATGCAGGTGTTTCAGCCTAGCTCAGTGCTTTCTGTGGTGGTAGGGCAGCCAGCGGAAAATACGGAGCATAGGGGTTGGTAATGTTCTCTAGATGTGCCGTGATTGGATCAGTGTTCTGTCACTCATGAGAACACTACGTCACCCCAGAATCTACGGGGAGAGCTCGAAAATTCAAGCCACTTGGGTACTGCCATAGAGTTACATTAGAAGTTTATTTATTTTTTATTTTATTTTATTTTATTTCACCTTTATTTAACCAGGTAAACCAGTTGAGAACAAGTTCTCATTTACAACTGCGACCTGGCCAAGATAAAGCAAAGCAGTGCGATAAAAACAACAACACAGAGTTACATATGGGGTAAAACAAAACAAAGTCAAAAATACAACAGAAATACATATAATATACAGTGTGTGCAAATTTAGCAAGTTATGGAGGTAAGGCAATAAAATAGGCTATAGTGCAAAATAATTACAATTAGTATTAACACTGGAATGATAGATGTGCAAGAGATGATGTGCAAATAGAGATACTGGGGTACAAATGAGCAAAATAAATAACAATATAGGGATGAGGTAGTTGGGCGGGCTAATTTCAGATGGGCTGTGTACAGGTGCAGTGATCGGTAGGTGCTCTGACAACTGATGCTTAAAGTTAGTGAGGGAGATAAGTGTCTCCAGCTTCAGAGATTTTTGCAATTTGTTCCAGTCATTGGCAGCAGAGAACTGGAAGGAATTGCGGCCAAAGGAGGTGTTGGCTTTGGGGATGACCAGTGAGATATACCCGCTGGAGCGCAGACTACGGGTGGGTGCTGCTATGGTGACCAATGAGCTAAGATAAGGCGGGGATTTGCCTAGCAGTGATTTATAGATGGCCTGGAACCAGTGGGTTTGGCGACGAATATGTAGTGAGGACCAGCCAACAAGAGCGTACGAAGTGCCCATCCAAGAAGTCTCAAAGTCATTGGCCACAGATAATATGACGTCAAACCACATTATATCTACAGTAGCTTTGATTGTACTGATCATGTCAACATCATTCTTTCAAAATCTTAGCTAGCAAGCTAGCTGTCATCATCATGAATCAAGTTGACAATCAACTGGCAAATCATTTTCAATCCTTGTCATATGAAGAGAAATTATGAAGAGAAATTATAGATAAAACATATCGGTGCTCATTGGCCATTGGACATAAACATTACACAACAAGTTGGAAATCGCAAATTCAACAATGAGTGGTTTGGAAGGAATCAGTGACTAACTGCAAGAATCGCAAAGCAATCACAAGCTTGCTATTCAGTGGAGTGGATGTGTGGTCCAAGTCTGGGTTTAAGGGTGTCTTTTCCAAGCTTAACACTATAAACATTCAACATTGGCCGTGCTGTCAATCCAGCATGACTTCTGCCGCTTTAAAAACAACTGGAAACTCGGAACAGGGAAATCTCACACTTCAGTGAGTTCAAGACAACTGGGAATCCGGAAAAATAACCAGCTCCTACTGGGAAATAAGTTTTGAGCGGTCATCCAACTCGGAATTCCAAATCGGGAACTTGGGCCTCTTTCTAGAGCTCCAACCTGAAGATCACTAGCGTCATGAGTCAACCTTGTTTTTCTCAGAGTTCCCAGTTGTCTTGAAAGCACCATAAATCCAGAGAATGCCAGACTTTGATGACAAAGTTTGATGACAAAATTTGTCCACGAAGGACCGCCGTGCCACCTTCCTGTTCAAGTGAGCACGACAAGGTGAGTCCAAAAATGTATTGTATTCTGCTGCATAAATGATATAATATGCCAGAGAGATATGTATACTGTAGCTAAGAAAGTAATACTAAGCGTATGTTGTGTAGTAAGCTGTTAGTAGCCAATGTGCCTCACCCTAATAATTTGGTCCCTTTTCCCCTCATAATATAGCCTACTGTTCTGATTTGGTGGTGCACATGTAGCCTATAGCCTATTTTAGAGAAATGCCATCATATCATTGAATATTGTAAGAGCTTTCATTGTCTGCTTATCTGCCCCCTTTATTTATCCTACGGTTCTGACTTGGTGTACAGGGAGAATACTATAAGAATGGCCCATGTTCTGAATTCTGTTGCTGTACATTTCAAAAGTGCTGAACAAATAGTTATATTGACTACGTCCGTCTTAGCTCGCTCATTAATGTCTTAATCAAAATTACAGATTGCCCCTTATCTGCTCGTCGTCCCCTTATGCCATAGTTTGTACATCTCAATTGTCAGTAGAAACCACATTTGTTTAAGCATGTCAGGGTGTCAAATGTGCAGCGGTAGGACGGAGTCAGGCGCAGGACACAGAACTGAGTACACAACGTACTTTACTTGGAAAAACAAACACTAATTTCCACACAGGGAAAACACACCAGCTCACAAAAGCGTATGACACAACACAACGAACAAACACGCACAAAACCATGTGGGAACCAGAGGGTTGAATAGGGAAATAATCATCATACAATGGGAACCAGGTGTGTACAAACAAGATGGAAAAAACAAATGGAAAAAACAGAAACGTAGATCGGTGGCAGCTAGAAAGCCGGTGACGACGACCGCTGATAGCCGCCCACACAAGGAGAGGCACCAACTTCGGCGGAAGTCATGACAGTACCCCCACCTTGACGCCCGGCTCCAGTAGCGCGCCGACACCGGCCTCGGGGACGACCCGGAGGACGAGGCGCAGGACGATCCGGGTGGAGACGGTGAAATTCCTGCAGTAAGGAAGGGTCCAGGATGTCCTCCACCGGCATCTCTCCTCCGGACCGTACCCCTCCCACTCCACGAGGTACTGAAGGCCCCTCGCCCGACGTCTTGAGTCCATGATGGCTCGTACAGTATACGCCGGGGCCCCCTCGATGTCCAGAGGGGGCGGAGGAACCACCCGCACCTCAGACTGCTGGAGTGGACCTGCTACCACCGGCCTGAGGAGAGACACATGACATAAGGGGTTAATACGGTAATCAGGGGGGAGCTGTAACCTATAACATACCTCGTCTCCTCAGGACTTTAAATGGCCCCACAAACCGCGGACCCAGCTTCCGGCAGGGCAGGCGAAGGGGCAGGTTTCAGGTCGAGAGCCAGACCCGGTCCCCCGGTGCATACACCGGGGCCTCACTGCGGTGGCGGTCGGCGATCGCCTTCTGTCGCCTGATGGCCCGTTGCAGGCGCACATGGGCAGCGTCCCAGGTCACCTCAGAGCGCCTAAACCATTCATCCACCGCAGGTGCCTCGATCTGGCTCTGATGCCATGGTGCCAGGACCGGCTGATAACCTAGTACACACTGAAACGGAGACATATTAGTGGAGGAATGGCGGAGGGAGTTTTGGGCCATCTCTGCCCAGGGGATGAAAGCCGCCCAATCCCCCGGCCGGTCCTGGCAACAGGACCGCAGAAACCTACCCACATCCTGGTTAACTCTCTCCACCTGCCCATTACTCTTGGGGTGAAAACCTGAGGTCAGGCTGACCGAGACCCCCAGACGTTCCATGAATGCCCTCCA